CGGCAAAAGCGACCAAAAAGCGAACGAAGACCCGAACGAGCATTTCATTTGCACAATGCGCCGGAATTAGCGGATTTGATGGGCTTTGGATTCCTAGCTGAAATTGCGAAAGGCTTTTCTAGTCACTAAAAAGAGCCTACAAGAAAAAGGCACCGAGTCAAGCTGGTCTTTTGACTCGAGACCAAGCCCATCCTTTAGAGTCGGCCATGGGGATCACGAATTCGTTTTTAGTTTTTGCAGAGCGCTTCGCAAACGCTAAATATTTGGCATAGAAAATCACATTGAATCTCGAGCTTCTTATCAGGCCGTCACACGCTTCCTTTAAATGTCGGACTCCTTAAGAAGCTGTCACACGCTCCCGCTTTCTGTAGCTTCAATAATTTAAAGAGGCAGCCTGCAAAATGCAAAGGGGTGCAAAGGGACAAAGGCACAAAGGTTTTTCGCAAAATGCAAACGATTGCAAAAGGTTTTGCAAAAGGCAAAGGGTTTGGGTTCAGTCGGTCAGTGATATTCGCTGGAAACTTTTGCAACCCTTTGCATTTTGCTAAACCTTTGCAACTCTTTGTCCCTTTGTCCCTTCGCATTTTGCAGGTTGCCATTTACAAAAGCTGAAACCTTCCAAAATACCAGAATCAGTAGATCAGTTTTGAAAAGTTCAAGATTTGTTGCCACATTTCTGAAAGCTATAGGTGCTATAATAGTATTCACTCTATTATTCATTGCAAATACGTAAAGAAATAGTTTTTTTAAAAAGCAAGAAAGTTTGGCGAGAGTGGGATTCGGGGAAGGGCAAAAAAACGTAATAGATTCGGAAGCGGTGGCACCGCCGAAGCAGTGGTTAGGGGAGCGTATGGCAGCTTCTTAAGGAGTCTGAAAATTAGATCTCAGCGGTAAGTTTGCGTAAACATTCTATGCCAAATAACTCACGTTTGCGAAGCGTTAAAAACGGATTCGAGCTCCCCATGGTCGATTCTATAAGATGCACGAGTCAAAAGGCCAGTTTGACTCGGTGCTTTTCCCTTATGGATAATTTTTTTGTAAATAGTAAAACGAGCTGGAATTGGCTAACTACAAGACGTTTAACTGCGGTAGTTTCTGAGGGGCTTAGGGACTCAATTGCGGAGCAAAGTGACCCATGATCAAGTAATTTCAATGAAAGCCCATTGACCACTTTAGAATAAGATTACATCACTCACCGGTACACGCGGGCATACAATAGCTGGGTTTTTGAGAAAATTCCCTATTGAACAATCAAGTGAAAATGGAAAGTCGACGGTCATCGATTGACTCAAATCATCATTTGCCAATAAACTAGAACAAATATTGTTTGACTTATTAAAACAAACAACTTGTGTAGATTTATAAAGTTTTTGATCATGTTTTTCGAGTCTCCGCTATGTGAGATGAGTGGAGACGAGAAGCAAACGGATTGAAGCCTCAACTCTTTCTAAAGTTTTCTATAGATTGACACAAATTTTCTGAAACTTACCGAATCGATAGCTGGCTCAACGACCATTGTCGAAAGAGGGAGTTGGGGAAGACGAGGCTCTTTCTGAAACAATTGTTGACTTAAATTAGATACTTTAGCAGCTACATTGAACCTAGCTACAGCTATCTCTACCTGTTCTCTCAAGCTCTCTTCAAATACTACAATTCGTTTGTTATAACTGTGTTATAACTTACATCAGCCACAGCTAAAAGTGTTTCTTTCAAACAATTCATCAGTTTATCGTGTCTCGGTCTTCCACGAGGTTTCAGACCGATTTGGGCTCGTTTCTCGCGTAGTTGGCAACCTTTTCGACGTGCCGTTACTTAAAATAAATCTTTCATTGAAAAAACTCAGGTTTTTCAATTAGTTATCGTACTTTGAAGGCCATTACTTATAAAAAATAAAGGATAGTATTGTAGTAATAAAGTAAGGAATGGTCAAGAAAGATTTCCGGAGAGGGATTGAACCTTCGACCTTTTGCTTTCCAGATGCTCTAACCACTGGGCTATCCGGTATAGTAAGTTATATGCCTTCTAGCTAGGGAAAGGCACCAAAAGGGTGCTTTTAACACGTGACTATATGCAACTTGTAGACAATAAATCCAGCGTTTTAATCCCCATGTCGAACTCTACAAGTTGCACATGGTCAAATGCCAAAGGCCTACATCCTCTTGATGCCTTTACCTAGTAAGTATGACAACTAATTCAAGAATCCACTTCACTACTAGGTGCACACCAATGAAAGTTATGTTTTTATTTTTGACCAAGTTTAAAGGGCTACATCTCAGTGAATATTCAACCAAATTTCAATCTCTTTACTTTATTTTGTTCCTCTAACATTCTTCTACAGCTTTTATAATAAACTTATCATCTGCCTCGAAACTTTTTTGAGTCTAAGTTAGATCTTCAAAAAAGTGACAAAAAGTGATTTTTCGAAAAACTTAGCTTTCAGGAATTCTTCTAAAAAAGTTTGTAGGCATTTTCACATGATAAATCTATTATAAAAATCGTAGCGGGATGCTAGAGAAAAAAAATAAAAGAAGAGAATGAAATTTGGTCAAATATTCACTGTGATATTGTCTTTCAAACTTGGTCACAAATAAAAATGTAGCGGCAACTAATACATCTGGTCTTTCCTGAAATGTTTCCAAGTTAAAAAATGATTTGAATCACCTGCAGCAATGTGATTGATCAAGCATTTCCCATCAGTTGGACATTTTGATGTCGAAGCCACCGAAGTGGTGACACGCATGAAGAAAACTTTACAACTACTAAAAGGGGGGGGGAATAGATTTTTTTTTTGGTTTTTTTTTTTTTTTTTTTTTTCCCCTCAAAAATTCCCTCCTCCTTTTTTAACTCCCCTTTTAGGGGGGGGGAATCCCCCTTTGGAACTTGATACTCGCGCAATCAGATAATCAGTGCAAACGCAAAAACTGACAAACTTCAAACGGATTTAAATCGAAAATTTGAACCCATTATTCATAAACGATCTAGATATTCGGAATCAACGAAAAATTTGCTCCAAAATAGCCTAGGTCGCACTTTGAAGCTCGGTGGTAAACTTGGAAACTTGGTAACTCGGTGGTGCTAGGGGCATTGCTTGTGTATTGTTTGTACCACATTATTCGTCTAAATCTAGATATTTTTAAATGTAGCTAGGGTCTCAGAGATGGAGGACAATCAGACTTCACTTTTTCATCAGATCCAACAACTTTTTTTATTTTTTTCAATAAATTTAAAATTTAAAGGATCTGATTGCTATTTTAGGGGAAATCCGAAAGAATGAAATCTATTTCGGGTATTTCGGTAGTTAGGTATGACAAATTGATCGACTTGTTTCCTTGTAATCTTATCGCTCATATAGATTTAAATCTAGGTTTTTCTTGAAACACTCACGCACACGCAATCGATCCATAAACTTTTGATGCCGGTATTTTCCCACAAACATGACATTTCTCGGCTATCGAAGTTGTCAGATCGACGATTTCCTCTTTGTCGATTTCTTTAATATCCATTTTTTGTAACTAAAATGTTTTAATGTTTTAAAATAAAATATATTTTCAAATGTTTCAATTTCAAAAATTATAAACAAATACAACAGAAAATGCCAAGATTAAAGTGAAAACTGAAAAATTCAAAATCTAGAATGAGAGAGTTGTTAATCAAAAGGATTGTACGAAATGGAAATTATATGAAATGAAAATTGTGTTCTTTTCCAATCGAAAATCCCCACTAAGTATCAGAGAACAAAAAGTTTTTCAAAGGTAGAGAAAAGCAGAGAAAAGAACTTGGGTGGAGGGAGAGAAATCACAAAATAGACCAGAAAAGAAAAGAAGAAACTGAGGAGAGAAAGAATTGATTTGTTTCTAGAAATAGAGATGAGTTTTCTCGGTAAAAACTTTCCTTATAATGAGGTATAACTTTAGATGTGTTGAAATTGGAATCAAAAAACTCTTCAAGTCAAGTTTTATTTTTTAAATCGAAGCGTCTTGTCAATATTTCTTGCACATATTTGGTGATGAACTGGAACTGGTTCAACAGACTGATATCATGGAATGTAAAGGTTATTATTATAAGTGAAGTGAAAGATAATACTCAATTACATACCCAGTTTTGAGGGCGATCTAATGAAAGAAAAATGAGCAAACATTGGCCAATACTTTTTTCCATCACTGTTACAGTCCAATCAATGTGTTTAACACCTGCTAAATCAAAAGTGATTGAGTCTCACTAATCATTAATTTCTAGCCAAAAATGTGAAAGTCAGCTTTGTCTAGCCTCCCAACTTTCGAAATTTGAATCGGTGTTTGAAAAAGAAACCTGGAGAAAATAAATCAACGAGAAGTAGTTCTGCATCTCGATCACTTTCTTCGACACAGATTTATTTTGGACAGGATTTTTGCGAGCTTTTATAATGAGGTGATTTAAGAATAGAAACGTTAGAATAGCCACCGAGAAAAATGGGGCCGCGAAAGCGATACCCACGCAGATTATGGGTCTATTTCGGAACACGAGAAGACGTGGCTCTTGCGAGAAATCTTTTGAGATCGATGTATCGAAGTAATTCTAAAACAAATGTCTTCTACAGCCTGTGGCTTGTCATATCAATAGTTTTTGACCACAAAACCCTACCTGACATTCTAAAAAGCTCTCAACGCAAATCTCTTTGTAGGGCGAAGCGGTGAAGACGACGCCGACCTACGCAAAAATTGAGCGACCCATGGTTGCAATGGCTTTCTTGTACAGAAACCCGACTAGCTTCCGGATTAAAATGTGGAGTGATGAACTGAAATTCGGAGTTGCTTAGATACGATTAATTGCATTGTGATCCTTTGCAAATAGTTGACAGCTGACGGGTTCCAATGATAAGGATCAGTAAGATTATTGCCATCAGCTAAACTCGGATTTTAGGAAGAATAGTTGACTCTACGCTGAAATTCGAACATTTTGAATGGAGATTTATGGTTGAGATGGAAAGCTGCCTCAACAAATATGCTTTATTCGGCACTTTATTCGCAAAACAGATCCAAAGAATTATAGAAGTTTTCCATATAAGCTTGTATTCGGATTTCCTTGAGGGCTTGATTCAATTGCTAAACAAATTAAATTAAATCCTTTTTAAACCCCTATCAACTCACCTTGACTTCAGCATCGAATCTGCGCAAATGAGGCAAGTAATTCTCAGCGGATGACTCAAAATTGGACTTGATCTTTCTAAAGAACAAATGTGTTGTTTTAAAATGTTAAAACTTACGTGAATGTTTCATTTTTCTCCCGTAAATCGGCAAAAGTTGATGCGTCCTTGAGAGTGTCCTCTTCCGAAAGCAATTCCTAAAGAAATATCGACTTCAATGGTTTTATTTGATAAAAATGCCGTTTCAAAGATGTCAATGCCCTCGAGAAGTCCCTTGTGTAGTTCAGGAACCAAATCCTTGTACGTTTTGATGACATTTCTTGACTCTTCTTGAAGTTCCATCAACATTTGGTTAGCCTAAACACATGAAATTAATATGGTACGCCTTTCAATTCTAAACTAACAAAACTAATAACAAGATGCAAAAGATACCTGTTTTTCCAATAGAGGAATGGCTTCATGCGAACGATGTTTTTTGTAAGCACAAATAGCACAAATCTGTAGATTAAAAAGTATTTTTCAATGCTAACAATCACTCACTTCAAGGCTACATGCGCTACAGTAAAACATCTTGTCGATAGTATCCTAAAATATATCTTCATAGAAATAAATTTAAGAAGTGATACCTTTTCGTGGCATTCGTTGCAGCTACGTGCATCCTTAGCATTCATCAAAGCTGCCTCAATTGTTTCCATTTGTTGAGTCATTTCGGGTAGTTCATTTAAAAAATCTAAAGAAGAATTAGTGAATGTAAGAGAATTCATCTACCATGAAATCGGTCTTTCTGTTTGTTGAGCTGAGTGGACGTAACAATGCGACAAGTTGGACATGTTGTTTCCTTATAACTTCTTGCAATAACAGTTTTCTTATAACTTCTTGGAATAACAGCTTTCTTCAAACAGCATTCTGTGCAAATGATATGCCCACATTGAAGAGCAAACGATTTCTTCTCATCAATTTGATCCGAATCTGAAGCAAAAAGAAATGTAGCAAGTCATCAAACTTACATTCATCATGACAAATTGGACATTCCGGAATTTTGAAAGGCTAAAAGAATCACTATGATTTGTAAATCCCAAATCCAACCTTCATAAGCAAATATCCCATTGGAGTAAAGAGCAGAGCTTCCTCTTGTGACAAAGCGTCTGAAAGAATACCATTCATTGATCTCGTTTTTAGTTTCAACAAAATTCATAAGAAAATTCACCAACCAATCAAAAAATAGGCAAAGTTGCGGTTATCGAAGCAATAACCAAGTTCACATTGATGCTTTCTTTCTTCTTCGTCCATTTCTTCCTCTTCCACGAAACATTCGTTGCACATGGCCAATCCACAACTCAGCTGACGTGGAGATCGAGGTTGATTAACAACTCGAGCATCTAAAAGATTGGCAAATCAAACAAAAACCCACTTGTTTACGCTTTAAAATCTAGATTATTTCGAAATCCATAACTGAAAAGCTAAAACCTACACGGTTGCTTGCAGACAATGCAGTTGAGCGATTCAAACACTCTCATTTCCTAAAAAGAAAGCATTAGAATCATTGAACAATCAACAAAAAGAAAATCACGCAAGAAAGAAATCGAATTGAGAGTTTGTGTGTTGAGGGTGGTAAGAGAATTTCCCATCAGTTGGACATTTTGATGTCGAAGCCACCGAAGTGGTGACACGCATGAAGAAAACTTTACAACTACTAAAAGTAACTACTTTCGGGAGAAGATTTGATATTTATGTTGGTAAATGTTTGTTTGTCTGTTTGCTCTCAAGATTTCGCTTCACGAGTCTTTTTAAATCACCTTTAATGAGAGAGTGAAAGTCTCCGCCATGGCCGACTGGCTAAGAGCTTCGGTGAGCGCAAACGCAGAGCTTGATACTCGCGCAGTCAGATAATTAGCGCAAACGCAAAAACTGTTTCTTCTTCACAAACAAACTTCAAGCGGATTTAAATCGAAAATCTGAACCCATTACTCACAAATGATCTCGATATTCGGAATCAACAAAAAATTTGCTACAAAATAGACTAGGTCGAACTTTGAAACTCGGTGGTAAACTTGGAAACTTGGTAACTCGGTGGTGCTAGGGGCAGTGCTTGTGTATTGTTTGTACCACATTATTCGTGTGAATTTATATATTTTTAAATGTAGCTAGGGTCTCAGAGATGGAGAACAATCAGATTTCACCTTTTCATCAGATTCAACAACTTTTTTTATTTTTTTCAATAAATTTAAAATTTAAAGGATCTGATCGCTATTTTAGGGGAAATGCGAAAGAACTATGCTAATCTTCACATAAATTTTCAATAAAAAAATTGAGTGGGGAAACGAGGGGATTTATGAGGCAAAAGCTGGAAATCCCTGGAAGTTGATCAAAAATACAACAAAAAATGCCAAGATTAAAGTTAAAAATGAAAAATTCAAAGTCTAGAATGAGGGAGTTGTTAATCAAAAGAATTGTACGAAACGGATTACAAAATTAGAAGTTTTCCATATAATCTTGCATTCGGATTTCCTAGACATCAGGGGTCTCGTTGAGGCTTTGAATCAATTGCTCAACAAATTAAATTAAATTCTCTTTAAAACCCCAATCAACTCACCTTGACTTCACCATCGAATTTGCGCAAATGAGGCAAGTAATTCTCAGCAGATGACTCAAATTTGGACTTAATTTTTCTAAACAATAAATGTTTCGTTTCGAAATCTGAAAACTTACGTGAATGACTCGTGTTTCTCCTGTAAATCGGCAAAAGTTGATGCGTCCTTGAGAGTGTCCTCTTCCGAAAGCAATTCCTAAAGAAATATCGACTTCAATTGGTTTTATTTGATAAAAATGCCGTTTCAAAGATGTCAATGCCCTCGAGAAGTCCCTTGTGTAGTTCAGGAACCAAATCCTTGTACGTTTTGATGACATTTCTTGACTCTTCTTGAAGTTCCATCAACATTTGGTTAGCCTAAACACATGAAATTAATATGGTACGCCTTTCAATTCTAAACTAACAAAACTAATAACAAGATGCAAAAGATACCTGTTTTTCCAATAGAGGAATGGCTTCATGCGAACGATGTTTTTTGTAAGCACAAGCGCCACAAATCTATAAAAAAAAGAGCTTAATCAATATTAACAATAGCTTACTTCAAAACCACATTTAGTGCAATGAAACATTTCGTCGACAATATTCTAAAATACAATAGAAATCAATTTAAGTAGGCATACCTTTTTGTGGCATTCGTTGCAGCTACGTGCATCCTTAGCATTCATTAAAGCTGCCTCAATTATTTCCATTTGTTGAGTCATTTCGGGCAGCTCATTTAGAAAGTCGAAAAAGAAATTGTAATCGTGAATGGAAAAAGAATTCATCTACCATGAAATTGATCTTTCTCTTTGTTGACAACAGTGTACGTATTCGTTCGACAAGTTGGACAAGTGATTCGATATTCATTTGACTGATAACTTCTGTAACTTCTGTAACTTCTGACGTGTCTTCAAACAGCATTCCGTGCAAATGATATGCCCACAACAAAGAACAAACGATTTCTTTGCCTCAAGTTCATTGGAATCTAAATCGAGATATTTTAAAGCAAGTCATCAAACCTACATTCACCATGACAAATTGGACATTCCGGAATTTTGAAAGGCTAAAAGAGGCTATGATTTGTAAATCCCAAATGCAACCTCCACAAGCAAATATCCCTTTGGAGTAAAGATCAAAGCGTTTTCTTGTGACAAAACGTGTAAAACAATTCGATTGATTAATCAGCTTTTACTCAAAACAAAAATCAGAATAAAACTCACCAATCAAAAAGTAGGCAAAGTTTCCGTTGTCGAAACCGATACAGTTCGTTCCACATTGGTGTTTTCTTTCTTTCTGGCCCGTATTACCCTCTATCACGAAACACTCATAGCACATGGCCAATCCACAGCGCAACGGAAATGGAGATCGAGGTTGATTAGCAACTCGAGCAACTGAAAGATTGGCAAATAAAACAAAAACCCACTTATTTACGCTTTAAAATCTAGATTTTTTCGAAATCCATAACTGAAAAGCTAAAACCTATACGGTTGCTTGCAGACAATGCAGTTGAGCGATTCAAACACATTCATTTCCTAAAGAATCATTGAACAATCAACAAGAAAAAATGAACGCAAGAAAGAAATTCAATTGAGAGTTTGTGTGTGAAATAAATAAAAAAATTTTTTTTTTTTTCACCCCTTTTTTAATTTTTTTTTAGGTGTTGGGGCGAAAAATTTTTTTTTTAAAAAAAAAAAAATATGTTTTTTTAAAATTTTTTTTAAACTCTTTAAATTCCCCTTTTTTTTTTTTTTTTTTTTTTTTTACATAAGATATTCAGAGAGCAGATACCGTAAAAGCTCTAATAGAAGAACCCCCTATAGGAGCGTCGCGTAGTCTAAGTTTACTCTCAAACAAACGCTCAGATCTCGACACCAGTACATTTGTTTCTGCGCGCTTGGGTATCAAATTAACAATATAAGATATATTTTTAGCATTAACCAGCGCTTAGAACAAAATGATTGAAAAATTATGAAAAATCAGTTTTTTTTGTCACTTTTGTCTTGCAAAAAAATCACCCATCCTCTCTAATTTAATTTGATACCCAAGCGCGCAGGAACAAACGTACTGGTGTCGAGATATGAGCGTTTATTTGAGAGTAAACTTAGACTACGTGACACTCCTACAGTGCGGTGCAAAACCATACGCCACCCCCTAAATTTCAATTTTCTGCGGCTCCCGTGCCAGTGACAAAAAAATTGAAAACGTAGTTAGTTTCAGGACCAAAAATAACCCCAAAAATCGTCAAAAACCCCAAAAATCGTCGACATAGCATGAATAGGGAAAATGGAACAGCCAAAAAACGAAAATTCACCCGGTGCAAAACCATACGCCACCCCGTTTACTCTCAAATAAACGTCAAATCTCAAGTTTACTCTCAAATAAACGCTCAAATCTCGACACCAGTACGTTTGTTTCTGCGCGCTTGGGTATCAAATTAACAATATAACATATTTTTATTTTTATATTTTTTTCTTTTACGAATTTTCTATTTCCCTCTACCCAAATGAGGTTGTTTGATTCGAAAAGCGATGAAAAACACTCCATCGCCCTTCTGTTGGATTGGAACATAAGTATTGATTACCTGTTCCAAGCTCAATTTCTCAAAAATCAAGCAAATAAGCTCAATTTCATTATTTTCTACTAGATTTAGAAAAATTATTGATAGAAAATGAGGACAACTTGTTTGAAAAGCTTGTAGTGTTTAGTGTTATGACGATTAATTTTATGATGGAATTGACAGATTAGCAGACGGAATGATTTATACCAGTATCATGTTATTAATAGCAGAAGAACGAAAGAAAACATTCAATTGTAAGTGATTTTATCATGTGGAATATGGCCGAGATCTCCAAAACCATTGAGTGCCACAGTGCCATCCGGGTAAACGATCAACGAAGCGAGCGAACAATTGGCAAGAGATAATCGAAGCCATCCTTCGACGGGGAATTGAAGGGCACTAAAATTAGGAAGTCTCCGAGTTGCTTTTGGTGTATTTTGTCAGTGATATTTCACAGAATATTTCCTGTTTGACAACTTTAACATGTTACAAAAGTCAATTTGGGGAGATGCATGTATTCAACTTTTTAATAATGTAAACCAGCTCTGACTGTGGGACATTTGATGCCCCGCCCCCTTTGGCAATCTTGCTGTTGGGCTGTTTTAAATTTAAATTTAAATAGTTTTTGTATTTGGTATTTTGTATAATTGGATGCGCCAAGTCTTCCTCTTATCGATTGGTACAAAAACTATTTAAATTGGACAGCCCAACACCAAGATATTTGAGCTAAAAGTTAGATTGCCAATGGCAAAAGGAGCGGGGCGTGTATCAAATGTCCGATAACCACCAGCTTTTAGAGAAAGTTTGGGAGAAACCAGAAAGAAATAAAATGGATTCAGTATCTCAATTATTAGTGATTGTTTGATCATAGGACTCAATAGGTAACGATTTTTTATTCCAAGGGAAAAGAACCAACCGGCAGACAAAATAGCGAATGACGTTCCCGTGGCATACGATGATCTGCAATTGTTTTTTTATTCAAAAAGCTAGTTTACGTTTTTCAAGTCTCGTAATGCTCTTTTTAAAGTCCACCTCATAGCTGTTCTCGGCTTGTTCGGGCGGTGCACGGTGAATGTACTTGCGGAAAGCGGCCTCGATTCGTGAGCCTTCACGATAGAAATGCTTGAAAATCATTTTGTTCTACTTTCTTGTTTTCATATCTCACTTGCATATCAGGCTTCCATGTGAGATGCGACGGTTCAGGTGGATAGGGAGCGCCCTCCTCCAACAGCGAGTCGCTTGACCGTGGCAAGCTTTCGGGCAACTAAACGAGAACTTGTTTAGGTAAGTGTTATTGCAAAAAATATACTTTGAGCTTTGTAATTTCTTGTGAGCCCGCGTCTCTTTGTGGTTCAATGGTAGATGCCTTGAATACGCACCAACGCACCAAC